TTTCCCCACAACTTGCATGGGTGTACCCAGCTAGCTGCTGAAGCTATTTTCTTCCACTTCTTTTTTCTTAGTCACATAACTGTGGCATTTTTCAGACATTTAAACCTTAAATAGTTCTTCCTTATAAAAAGTCTTGTTTTAAGAGGAAGAGCACATTTAGGCTTCAGCTCTCTGACAGTGCAACTGAAAGTATAAGTAGTTGAGTGAGGAGAACACCATTGGAGAGTCTGTTTTCCTTGCAACGCAGTGCAGCATTATGGAAGAGAAGAAGAAATGGATGTCCTCAAGAAGTGAGTCTTTGCAAATAGTTGGAAAACATTTTAGAAGGTTGTATTATATATTTTCTGACTGAAGTGTACTTTAATATTTTCTATTCTACACAAGAAGCCAGCTATATCTAATTGATGAAACTTGGTCAGTTTTCCCAGGCAAACAGAGATTCAGTTAATACTCTTTATTGCAAATTTATGGAGTCCTAATTTTAAAATGAAGACGTTTTCAACAATATGATAGCAAGAATTGTGTAATTAATTACTCAGATTATTTCCATGAACCCCCTGACCTACCCCAAAAAACATTCTGGTCTTTCAGTACACTAAACAAAAGCTTTTCAAGAAACCTACAACTTCCAGCGAAGTCAGTGGACTCATAGGTGTTCAGCAGCACCTAACAGGGTCAGGCCACAAGGAAATCGCTCTACAGAATATTGCACATGTTCATTGCTATTTCCCCGCAAGTCCTGTTGCTCAAAATAAAATTCATACAAATTGATTTGCTAATATTCAGAGTTATTGGGAAAACTGGCACTCCACTTCCATGCATTCCTGTATCTGTTTCCTAACAAAGAAAAGAGTATTTTAGAGGTATTTCTTCTTAAAAACTGATTTAAAAAGCAGCAACTTCCTCTATTTAAAACAAATGCTGTAAATATTTCATAAGGGTCTTAATTTGAGGGTGAGGTGGATACTGTTTTCCTTACATTATATATAACATACCTTTAGACATGATAGAACTAATCTCTTTAATTGAATCTACAAGATATACTTCCACTGCTAGTCTATAGACTTCATTTTTCTTCAGTTTTTAAATTTTTACTAGAGCACATACTGGGATCACATTTATAAAAGGCATAACATTAGTTTATTTATGCTTCCCCAAAACAATTTTATTCATCTAAAACAGCGGTTTTCAACCTTTTTTTCATTTGCGGACCAGTAAAAAATTTTAAATGGAGGTAAAGGCCCTTTTGGAAATCTTAGACATAGTCTGTGGACCACCAGGGGTTTGCAGACCACAGGTTGAAAACCACTGACTAAAACTATGAACTCAGTTCTTTCACCCTAACACTGAGTAATAACTTACTAAGCAACAGGAGATTAATATGTGTGAGGGTGAAAGTTCTAAATATTTTTCCTAAACCTTCAATTCTGTAATTCTTGAATTACCCTGGCTTTGTAACCATATACTGCTAAACTGATTGAAGCGCCGGAATAACGATTGACAATGATATAAACTCACCTCTTTCCTTCTCCCCTCCCCTCCAAAACAGATTTAGACTAAAAGAAAGTAATAAATATCCACAAATACTACTCAAGTTTAGGTTCATCATCAAAATACATCACATTTTAAAGTTGTAGCAAATAAGACCCCAATCCATCAATGGAACTTCTTACATGCTTGAAGTTGAGCATGTCCTTAAGAGTTTGCAGGGGCTGTGACACTGGTAGACCCTGTGCCAGCTCTTGACAAAGTGTAGGTGTCAGCTGAGAATTGACAAATTCATAGCTGAAAACCAGACCAGCTCACCTGTATGTTAGTATTGTTTAAGATACATGTAAAACTTGTAAGGATATGTTTAGACTCTATAACAGAGGTGGGCAAACTAGGCCCACAGGACCCTCCAGCCCAGCCCCTGAGCTCCTGGCCCAGGAGGCTAGCCCCCGGCCCCTCCCCGCTGTTCCTCCTCCCCTGCAGCCTCAGCTCACCCCGCCGCCGGCGCAACACTCTGGGCGGTCGGGCAGCGCAGTTGCAGAGCCGCAGCCTGACCCAGTGCTCTGGGCGGCGCGGCTGTAACGCCACCAGCCACCGGTGCTTTGTGCTGCACGGTAAGGGGGCAGCGAGAAGGGGGGGTTGGATAGAGGGCAGGGGAGTTCATGGAGGTGGGGGTGTGGATAGGGGTCGGGGCGGTCAGAGGGCGGGGAACAGGGGGTTGGATGGGGCAGGGGTCCCGGGGGGCAGTCAGGAATGAGAGGGGGGTTTGGATGGGGCAGCAGGGGGCAGTCAGGGGTGGGGGGGTCCGGGGACAGGGAGCAGGGGGTGGTGGATGGGGGCAACAGGGAAGGGGGGGGGATTGATGGGGTAGGAGTCCCGGCGGGGGGGGGCCGTCAGGGATCAGGTGGGGTTGGAATCCCGGGGGGACCATCAGGGTACAGGGAACAGGGAGGTTGGATGGGGCAGGAGTCCCGGGGGAGCTGTCAGGGGGCAAGAAGCAGGGGGGGGAGGTTCAGATAGGAGGCAGGGACCGGGCCATGCCTGGCTGTTTGGGGAGACACAGCCTCCTCTAACCGGCCCTACAATTTTGGAAACCCGATGTGACGCTCAGGCCAAAAAGTTTGCCCACCCCTGCTCTATAAATTGGTTGTAAATTGCTGCGTGCATTAATCTTATTGTAATCTCTGTATCCCATGCTATAAGGTTATCTTTTGCTTTATAACTGTAAAAATGCCTGCTCTGAACTTGATAGCTCCAACAGGAGGAGTGGTTCCCCCACCCACCAAGGACGACTATGAGACTAAATGGACCATTGTAAGACATCACGATACAAAAACTTTGCTAATTACGCCAGCACAGGCTACATGCAGAAGGCCTTGTCCCATCACTTTGAATTCTGAAAGAGGGAAATAAAGATAGCTAACATCAAAATTTTTCATCTTTGGAGTCTGGACTCTCTCGGCGCGATAGACACTAAACTGAAGCAGAGATCCCCAGGGTTTCTCCTGGGTCCACCCTGAAAGACATTTTGAATTGACAGATTACTATAGCTCTGTCACTTTTTTGGAACCATAGACTCATTTTTGTGTATATTTCTGCTTGCTTTAACCTGTAAATAACTCTCATTTCTTTTCTTAGTTAATATAGCCTGAGTTAGTTCACTGTAGGATTGGTTACCAGCATTGTCTTTGGTGTGAGATCTAAGGTACAAACTGATTTGGGGTGAGTGACTGATCTCTTGGGACTGGGAACAACCTGAATATTTTGTGATCTTTGGTATAAGCGACCATTTATCACTAAATACATCTCGCCTAGGTGGCATGATAGACTGGAGTGCCCATGGGACTGTCTGTGACTTCCTGGTAAGACTGGTATAATGTTTCAGGACTGGGTTGGTGAAATCTAATTATAGAACATACAACCGGTTACAGGTGTCTGCCTTGAGGCTGGCATTTACAGTCATGAACCACTCCAAAGTATGTGACAGACCCCAACCAGTGAACAAATCTAAATCAAAGTACTTACAATGTTTGTGATTCATTGGCTCTTCAGAATATGATCATATACTCCTTTAAAATGATAGTTACACATGTAATAGATGTCATTCAAATTTCTTCTTACACATAGTTTGCCCATGGCCAAATCAGTGTCATATTTTGTCCCAGGTCATTAAATAAAAAGCCTAATATTTGGAAGCTAAATGATTTTATTTCATATTAATAAAATACAAAAACCCAATTCAAAGCCTCAAATCTTAAAAATAAAGTCATGTTCCTAAATCAATTATTTCACTGACCAAACTTCAATAATTTCTGCGTATGACCTGCATGTAAAGTTTAACCAGTATGGACATTTGATTATATGACACAATAAAGGTGACACTTAATGCTCAAAAAAGTATGTTGACAATAAATATGTATTACAGACATTGGTCCTTCTGGCAAAAACATGGTTCTAACAGTTCAGTTCTGCATAGTTGATCTTCTGTATCTAATTTTTTTAAAAAAAACTTTTGCTGTTTAGCAGTTATGAGTCACTCTCTAGGACAAGAAAACAATAAGATCAGTATAAGCCAATTTAACATTTCTACATGCCAGAACATTTTTATTTAGCTTCGGATACTTTCTGGTTTCTCAAATGAGACTTCAACTTTGATTCCATGTAGCTATTGATTTAAAGATGTTGCCAAAGAAGAGAGGGTGGCTTTATTATACAGTTGTACAACTGTGTTATCATGCTGTGTAACTTTATACATAGCTGGTAACTGAAGCAATTTTAAATTAGATTCTTCCTTTCTATTCTTCAGAGACTTATTTTATATCGCTATCAGAATTCTTGAAATCAAAGCTGCCAGCTGTAAAAGAAAAAGATAAAGCCTGATTGCCACAGACCATAAGTAGGTACAGTAAATGACCACATCCTCCTGTATGTTATCTTCAGAAGATAAGGCGTCAAACTAATTTACATGCAGGTTTTCCAGAAATCAACTCATTTGGATGCCAAACTAAAAATAAAATCAGATTTAATTCTGAGAGTGTCGTATTAAGATGAAAACAAAAGATATGCATCCCTTTGAATAGTGGATTAAAAATAAGTTAATAAAGCACAAATTGGGTTTATCAGCAGTATCTCAGTGTAGCCTCAAAGGGAAAACAAAGTGACCTCCAATCTGAACAAGTCATGGTCACAAACCTGCTGCCTACCTCAATCTGCTCGGAGGACACGTTGGGAATTTGAGAGGTATTATAGAGAAGTGCTTACGAACAAAACCACAAGACTGAGAAGCAAAAGAAAGTGAACGTTTAGGAACTTGGGGGGGGGGGGGTGAGACCCACCTCCTTTTTTTCTGTTGGCTGCACAGAGACACATTTTAAGTAACAAGCGGAGTCCAGAGGAACAGCAGAGACCAGGGCTGAACACCCCCCTCCTTACACACACCGAAGGAACCAGCGAATGTACCATTCCAATCAGAGGCGCAACAATTGGAGAGAAACTTTAAAGCAACTCACCGCGAGGCAGCGAGACCAGAAGGCTGCGTTCAGTCGGAGCTGCAGGCGCCGGCCCCTCAGGCCCCGGAGGAAGAGGTTCCCTCGCTTGGGACATCTGCCAGCTCTCTCCCCGCGTCCTAGGAGCTTGCACCCCCCAACCAGCCTAACACGCCACCCTGAAGGGACAAACACACGAGAGGGCTTTTGAGTGCATTGCTCCGCCGCACGCTCACTGCTCCGGGGCGAGGGCTTGGGGAGGGGCTGGCCCCAAAGAAGCAACAACTTTGCAACTCCGCGGCAGACGCGTCCCTCCGCCCCTGCCCTCCCCGCTGCATGCGGAGGGCGCCTTTGGGTGCACAGACACAAAGTGCTTGGAGCGGAGCCCCCGGGGTTCCTGAGCTATGGGGGGTTCGGGGGGGCGCCCGAGGGATGGGGGGTGCTCAACGCCCCATAGCCAGCAGAAGCCACCCGCCATACCTTGGCATTGCCTTCTGCTCGGCCCCTGCACGCTCCCCTCCGCCACCTCCTGTGGCGGGATGGCCCCTTCCTCCCCCCGGCAGGGGAAACTTACCGAGGCTCCCAAAGCAGCAGCAGCATCTCCCCTGCCGGTGCGGCCGCCTCTTCACCTCCCCTCTCCAGCTGCGGCTGCTGCCTCCTCCCTCCTGTGCAGCCCCCGGGCTCCTACCGCTGCAGCCCCTGGCACCCCGCCCCGCTGCCGCGCGGGCTCTCGCCCTCTCCAGCCACCGCGCTGCACACACCAAACGGGGACTTTTTTCGTCCTTCTCCCGCCCCCCCCACGCAACACTTCTTCTTTTTCATCATTTCCGGAGACTGAACACATCCAGCTCTGGCTGGCAGAGATCGAGGCTTGGGGGCGGCGGCTCCCCAGGTCCCGCTGCCCGACCGGTTCTCCAGAGGCTGCGACAGGGACGCTGGACCAGAAGGAGGGCATGGGCCCCAGGCCCAAACTGGGAGCATCCTCCTACCCATGTGGCTGGGGTTGGGTATGGGCCATGCTGGGGTTGTAACTCTGCAAGTGCCCTGAGCAAACCGGGTGGCAGCAGAGGGGGAGGGAGAGACACCACTTCCAAAAAGGAGGCTTTCATGCCTGAGCTGTGTTTGCAGCTGCAGCATAGGGCTGGGGAGAGTAGCACTTTAACAGGGCTAACCTCTGACTCGGACATTAGTCACTTTGGTTTGAAAAACTTAGGCTACTTTTCAGGTTCAACCAGTTTGCAAGTAGCAACGTGGTTGAGGTGACTGATCTGCGAAAATCGGAGACACAGTAGGCCCTAAAACCCAAAGCCTTCCATCAACAGTAGAGATTTACTTTAAAAAAAATCAATGCAACATTTACATATTATTGCACAGGTAAGATATGTATTATATTTAATGATTTTAAACACTTACACAAAACTATTCAAAAGGTATGCACACAATAAAGAAGGAACAAGCAAAGATTTTACAGAGCAGATACCTAGAAAGCTAAACCACTTCCTTCCTTCCACCAGCACCTCTTCAATATGCACCTCTCACTTGCAGGTCTGTTTTTATCCATATAGAAGAGAAATTCTTGTCAGTCTTAGGGCTTGTACCCACCAGCGCTTACTATGGTATAAGGCCTGCGTCTGACGAAGTGGGTATTCACCCACGAAAGCTTATGCTCCAATACATCTGTTAGTCTTAAAGGTGCCACAGAACTCTCTGTCGCTTTTTACAGATCCAGACTAACGCGGCTACCCCTCTGATACTTGATACTATGGTATAAGTCGCTCAGGGAAAAGTGGAAAAGCCACGACCCCTGGTGTGGACAGCACTATGTCGGCAGGAGAAGCAGTCCCACCAACGTAGCTACCGCTGCTTGGGCAGGTGGAGTAATTATGCTGACAGGAGAGCTCTCTCCTGTTGGCATAGAGCATCTGCACTAGCAGCGCTAAAGTGGCGCAGCTACATCAGTACAGCTGCCCTGCTGTAGCGTTTTTAGTGTAGACTAGCCCTTAGGCCCTGATTCTGCTTAGCTTTATTACCATGAGCATTCCATTGACCACATTAGGACCATACTTGATAGTAAAACGAAGCACACATATTAAGTGTTTGCAGGATTGTCGGCCTTAATATGCTCCTATAAAGCAATTCAAACTTCTAAAACAAAAGCAATTTGTATGATTTAATTGTAATTTCCTTTAAACTCACTAGCAGATCATACACCATGGTTCAGTCCCCATATTTGAACCTTATCTTTCATCAAAGCATATTTTCACCTCTCTCTCTCTCTGAGAAACTGAAAAAACACAACTAAGTAGGAAATATGTGACTAAGGACAAAATAGCCTAATTAATAAAATTTTGAGAGCAGGTGAGAGGTGGATGCTAGTTTTGATATTGTAAGCACTAAAAGACGTGGCTCAAGTGTTCTAGACAGAAGTTTCATTTTAAAGAAACATTTCTCTGCAGTGTTTGCAAACCAACCATTGTAGATTGTAAATTCCTGGGGTTAGAAGCCATCCTTATATGCCTGCAAAGCACCATGCAGCTTTGGGACCCAACCTTATTCCAACGGACATAAATGGAAGTTTTGCATTTGATTTCAGTTAGAACAAGATTGCATTCGTATGATGCTATTGTATAATCATTGTCATCACTGAAAAGATTGCATGTGCTATCAGTTGCCTCACACTGGTATCCAAGACACAATTTCTCTCTCTCTCTCTGAATAGGAAATAACTTAATTGTAGTATCTCCTGGAAAATACAGATGTAATGATAACCACTATAAGTAGTAATTAATAGTGCTGGTGCATGAGAACGTGAAAGTGAAACTTACTAAAGAGAAATTGATCATTATTGATTATTGACAAGATGAGAAATAAAAAGGAAAAAAATACAGCTAGTGAAATTTAAATTCGATTTTATACAATTTTCTTTCAATTTTAATAATTTAAAGTAGATTTAACACCCAACAATATATGTTTAAAGCTTTTCATAACAAAATGACTGAACTGAAAAGATGTATGTGTAAGAAGTTAAGTATGTTGCCAGAAGCTCAGAATGAGCGACAGGGAATGGATCACTTGATGATTACCTGTTCGTTCCCTTTGGGGCACCTGGCAGTGGCCACTGTCAGACGACAGTATACTGGGCTAGATGTATCTTTGGTCTGACCCAGTATGGCCATTTTTACATAACATAAGAACAGCCGTACTGGGTCAGACCAAAGGTCCATCTAAGCCCAGTATCCTGTCTACCGACAGTGGCCAATGCCAGGTGCCCCAGAGGGAGTGGACCAACAGGCAATGATCAAGTGATCTCTCTCCTGCCATCCATCTCCATCCTCTGACAAACAGAGAGTAGGGACTCCATTCCTTACCCATCCTGACTAATATCCATTAATGGACTTAACCAGCATGAATTTATCCAGTTCTCTTTTAAACGCTGTTATAGTCCTAGCCTTCACAACCTCCTCAGGTAAGGAGTTCCACAAGTTGTGCGCTGCATGAAGAAAAACTTCCTTGTATTTGTTTTAAACCTGCTGCCTATTAATTTCATTTGGTGACCCCTAGTTCTTGTATTATGGGAATAAGTAAATAACTTTTCCTTATCCACTTTCTCCACATCAATCATGATTTTATATACCTCTATCATATCCCCCCTTAGTCTCCTCTTTTCCAAGCTGAAGAGTGCTAGCCTCTTTAATCTCTCCTCATATGGGACCCGTTCCAAACCCCTAATCATTTTAGTTGCCCTTTTCTGAACCTTTTCTAGTGCCAGTATATCTTTTTTTAGATGAGACCACCACATCTTTAAGCAGTATTCGAGATGTGGGCGTACCATCGATTTATATAAGGGCAATATTATATTCTCAGTCTTATTCTCTATCCCCTTTTAAATGATCCCTAACATCCTGTTTGCTTTTTTGACCGCCTCTGCACACTGCACGGACATCTTCAGAGAACTATCCATGATGACTCCAAGATCTTTTTCCTGACTTGTTGTAGCTAAATTAGCCCCCATCATATTGTATGTATAGTTAGGGTTATTTTTTCCAATGTGCATTCCTTTACATTTATCCACATTAAATTTCATTTGCCATTTTGTTGCCCAATCACTTAGTTTTGTGAGATCTTTTTGAAGTTCATCACAGTCTGCTTTGGTCTTAACTATCTTGAGCAGTTTAGTATCATCTGCAAACTTTGCCACCTCACTGTTTACCCCTTTCTTCAGATCATTTATAAATAAGTTGAATAGGATTGGTCCGAGGACTGACCGTTGGGGAACACCACTAGTTACCCCTCTCCATTCTGAGAATTTACCATTAATTCCTACCCTTTGTTCCCGGTCTTTTAACCAGTTCTCAATCCATGAAAGGACCTTCCCTTTTATCCCATGACAACTTACTTTACTTAAGAGCCTTTGGTGAGGGACCTTGTCAAAGGCTTTCTGGAAATCTAAGTACACTATGTCCACTAGATCCCCCTTGTCCACATGTTTGTTGACCCCCTTCAAAGAACTCTAATAGATTAGTAAGACGATTTCCCTTTACAGAAACCATGTTGACTATTGCTCAACAGTTTATGTTTTTCTATGTGTCGGACAATTTTATTCTTAACTATTGTTTCGACTAATTTGCCCGGTACCGACGTTAGACTTACATCTAATGTGGATAAATGTAAAGTAATGCACATTGGAAAAAATAACCTTAACTATACATACAATATGATGGGGGCTAATTTAGCTACAACAAGTCAGGAAAAAGATCTTGGAGTCATCGTGGATAGTTCTCTGAAGAACTTTATGTTCTTAACATGTTTTTTTTTTCCTCTACAAAGATATTTATAGTTGTGTTCTATTCTATAATCATTTGCATACATAACATTTTATGGAATTATTTGTATAACTTTATTAAAGCAATCCAGATAATATTTTACATTTATTTGGAAGAATGTTTTATCCTGAAGCATCCCAAAGCACTTCAGAAACTATATGTATAAAGTCACCTTTGGGATGGTGGGTGTGATGGGGTTCCCAGGGTGCAACCTTGACTGTGGGACCGCTGAGCCCTCTAAATGCACCAACCTGGGCTGCCTCTCACACTGTGATGCTGATGTCAAGCTACAAGCCTCTGACTGGCACTGCACTTACACAGCCATCCACAGGCAGGGACACACCCAATTGAGTTGATCTCCTGGCCACTCATGAACCATCAATAGAGAGGATCCAGCCAATTCCCCCTAGCTTCCCAATCTTGCATCCG